GTCTTGATAGTGGGCATGGGGGCTGGGGACAAAGAAGGGAGAAGGGGAACAGGGGAGCTCAGATGTAATCTATCCTCACTCCTTCCCCAGCCTATCCACAAGATCCAGCCCCAAAACTGCTACCTGTTGTCTGGAGACTTCCAAGTTTATCCACTCTGCCCACATGTGGAGGAACTACTCCTATCTCTGAAACTCCATGATTATCACTCATGGGTTTTACCCCACAGTTTTGTGTGAACTTGTATGTCTTTTCCTCTGTATTCTCCTAGATTTTAAATTCTCAGACACACGCAGAATGTGTGTCTGAACCATTCTCTTTGTAATATACCCTCCCCCAGACTAACACTTGCCACGTGGTTCTAGGACTGAACCGTTTGTTAAATTCCTACCTGAAAGAATACTAACTTGGGAAACAAACAGTGAGTACCAGAGAATCTACATCTATCAAGGCTTATGGGAAACTGGTTTGGAAACCCTAGGGGGGATAATCAGAATTGTTTAGGGGTAGTTTTGCCTGGAGACAGATCTTTCAAAGTCCCTCCAATCCAAAAATTCAGAAAGGAACATAGGCTTCCTATAGTGCCCTCAAAAACAGGATTTACTGTTGTCCAACTCCAATACGGAAACCCCATTCATAAAGCTACCATTGCCCATGAAGCAAGAGAATAAAAATGTTGCCACTTAAGCAATTACGTTTTTCTATGCCCAACTCCCAGAAACACCCAGGAAAGGGTTGATGAAGTTGGAAGTTCTAGAAATAGCTCTTTCTAAAACAAAACAGGAGTAAAGCCAACATAATGTGATCTCAGGAGAGCAGTTGTGCACAAGATCGGTTAGGAGGGCGGGTACAATGGAGATGAGAGGATAGCTAGAGATTATTGATCTCTGGAAAGGTACTGATAACTGAAAGAAAGCAAGCTTGGGATGGAGTAAAGCCCCATTCCTGGGCTAGCTGTGGGGAAGTTTTCTTTGTTGATTAGACTAAGTTCAGGGATGATCACAGGTCATGTTCTTGATATAACTGAATCATGTTCTTGATACAACTGAAACTGAATTTACGAGAAGAAACTTCTAACCAAAATTTTCATGCACTTAACAGTTACAGACTCAAGGCTTGTTTCTAATTTGCTTGGTCGTAGGTGGCCGGTCTTAGGCTGTTCATTTTATTTCCCAATACTAACTTTTATTTACCAGCAGGGACCTGGTAACTAGAAAATGTGAGTCATACACCAGAGTCTTGGAATCCCATATAATGCCATAATTCTGTGAACAGCAATTATTTAAAAGCATAAGCACATTTTTTCCCTAAATAGCTGTCTACATTTATACAATGAAGACAGACCAATGTAAAAGAAATAGTTAAAAGAATCAGCTCTCCCTGTGAAGTTGGCATAGCTGTACGATTACTGACTATATCCCTGAGGAGAGTACGAAATTAATCAAGTCTCATAAATTGGCTTCATAGAATGTGATTATGCTGTACAGTGGGGCATGTGTAAATACAGGTGACGGCTTCTTTCAGCCGCGAGGGACCTGATTTGGGCTTCTCTCCTTCCCGCTAGATCTGTCAGGCAGCAGTAGAAGGGCTTTCTAGTAGAAAGGAAGAACGGAAGGCCTGATATACTCCTCCCAGAGCCGAGATTCTCCTCCTTGAAATTGTGCTGATGAAGGAGATCAGATACTGTATCCATTTGCTTGAGCTGCCATAACAAAGTACCACAGACTGGGTCGCTTAAATCACAGAAATTCATTTTTGTCACAATTCTGGAGGATAAAATTCTGAGATCAAGGTGTCGGCAGGATTGGCTGCTTCTGAGGCCTCTTTCCTTGGCTCGTAGATGGCTGTCTGCACCCCTGGCTTCACTTGACCTTCCTTCTGTGTATGCCTGTGTCCTAATCTCCTCCTATAAGGACACCTGTCATATCAGATGAGGGCCCACCCTAATGACCTCATTTTAACTTAATTGCCTCTTTAAAGACCTTATCTCCAAGTACACTCACATTCTGAGGTACTGGAGGTTAGGATTTCAACACATGAATTTGGGAGGCGGGGGCAGGAGTCCAGCTCTAACAGAGAATGTGCTGGGAATTCCTGTGGACCAGCCCCACACTTCATTTGTCATTCTTCAGTGTTGAGTCTACAGGCACATGCCTCAAGTGAAGTAGTTTTATGGGTGTTGGGTTTTTTCTCCTCCAGTAGGGTGGGTGGAACAAGTTAATTTGGCTACTGCGTAATCTTTAAACTGCTCTGTAAAGTAAATGGCCACTCAGTGTGATTCGTAATGTGTGAAAGGTCCCAACTCAAAGCTGTGTATCCATAATCAACCCTTTAACCCTTCCTTGTCCTAAAGAAACCAAAGGGCACTGGTTAGTATGGTAAGGTGGGGGGGGGGAGTATGTTAATTTTTGGAATTTGGAAAGCAGACGGCTTTACTTTATTTTTTTTTTATTTTATTTTTTTAATTCAGTACGCGGGCCTCTCCCTGCTGTGGCCTCTCCCGTTGCGGAGCACAGGCTCTGGACGCGCAGGGTCAGCGGCCATGGCTCACCGGCCCAGCCGCTCCGCGGCATGTGGGATCTTCCCGGACCGGGGCACGAACCCGCATCCCCTGCATCGGCAGGCGGACTCTCAACCACTGCGCCACCAGGGAAACCCCAGCTTTACTATATAAGGTTGAAACAGCAGTACCATCAATGAAATACAAACCAAAAATTTTACTGTTTCCAAATTTATTGCTGTTAATTTTGGTCTTAAGTTGATAGATTCCATAGAAGGTGATAAGTATCTTTTACCTCTTCCTCCATTAGAAAATTAGGTTAATAATGGATTCCTTGATCGAGAGTATCACCACTTACTAAAACGTACATGGAGAGAATAATCAATAAACAGGCTTTCTAGGAAAAAGAAAATGTTGAGTCTAAGGGTCACTTCAGGGGTTCCACGACCACCTTGGAGATTCACGGTGAATATGGGAGGCCTTGTTGAGCCCCAACTATTCTAATAATAGTAAGAGTAATATTAAATAGTAGAACTTTTGCCAAACACTTTACTCATTATCTTTGAAATCTCACGCTATTCCTCGTATAATACTCATTTTGCAGATGAAGAAACTAAGTCTTAGGGAGGTCAGCTAACTTCACCGCAGTTACATGGTTAATAAGAGGCAGAGGGGGGTTGATCCTGTTGACCCCACCTTGCCTCCCTATTTGTGAGCATTGGTTCTTCTTGGTTGTCTGTGGTCTGAGAGTCTAAGGAGAAACTCCTTGCAGGAGAATAAGGCTGGGGGTAGAGGTATGAAGGAACTTCTTTTCAGTTTTGAATCGGGGATCTAAGGGAGTCCAGAGTCCCCAAAGAACACTGAAACCTGAAGTGTGATTCAGAATTTTCCCATTGCCAAGACATCAGCTAACCTAGATCTGTCACACCCTAACCATCGCAAGAGGGAGGAAATAAGAACAAGGGTCAGGAATGGGGATTAGGGACTCTAGAGCTGCCCTGGAGTTGCGTATGCAGCCAACTCTGCCTCCGGTTTGATGTAGTCCTGTTTATCTAGTTTTGCTTTTGTTGGCTGTGCTTTTGGTGTCACATCCAAGAAATCATTGCCAAATCCAATGTCATGATGCTTTCCCCGCTATGTTTTCTCCTAGGAGTTTTATAATTTTAGGTCTTACTTTTAGGTCTTTAATCCATTTCAAGTTAATTTCTGTATATGGTGTAAGGTAAGGATCCACCTTCATTCTTTTGCATGTGGATATCCTGTTTTCCCAGTGTCATTTGTTTTTGTTTTTTAATTTTATTTATTTATTTATGGCTGCGTTGGGCCTTCGTTGCTGCGCGTGGGCTTTCACTAGTTGCCGCAAGCGGGGGCTACTCTTCGTTGCGGTGCACGGGCTTCTCATTGCGGTGGCTTCTCTCGTTGCAGAGCACGGGCTCTAGGCACACGGGCTTCAGTAGTTGTGGCACACAGGCTCAGTAGTTATAGCTCGAGGGCTCTAGAGCACAGGCTCAGTAGCTGTGGCGCCTGGGCTTAGTTGCTCTGCAACATGTGGGATCTTCCCAGACCAGGGCTCGAACCATGTCCCCTGCATTGGCAGGTGGATTCTTAACCACTGTGCCACCAGGGAAGTCCTTCCCAGTGTCATTTGTTGAAGAGACTGTCCTTGCCCCACTGAATGGTCTTGGTATCGTTGTCAGTCATTTGACCATATATGTGTAGGTTTATTTCTGGGTTCTCTATTCTATTCCCTTGGTCTTTGTTTCTGTCTTTATGGTGGTACCACTCTGTTTTGATTACTATAGCTTTGTAATAAGTTTTGAAGTGAGGAAGTGTGAGACATCCATATTTGTTCTTCTTTTTCAAGATTGTTTTGGCTATTTGGGACCCCTTGAAATTTCATATGAGTTTTAGGATGGAGTTTTCTATTTCTGCAAAAAAATGCTCTTGTGACCTGAGGTACTGCCTTTGAAAACCACTTTTCTATTCTAATTTTTAGCAGAATTACTGAAAAAATAACAGCAGCAATATCTAACCCTCCTGTAGCATCAGCTAAAATGTGCCAGGCAGTATTCTCTACCCTTAACTTAAATCAACTCGTTTAATTCTTGCAACAGCCCCTGAAGTAGGTATTGATAGTTTCCCCATTTATAGATGAGGAAACTGAGACACAGAGGGGAATTCTGCATCTTACCTAATGTCACACATTTAAAAAGGTCAGAGTAGGATTCAAGTGCAGGTGATCTGACTCCAGAGTCTGAGACTTTAGTTGCTATCCTGTACTCTTTATGGAAGAAGAAAAAGCATATAGGAGTTCAGGCTGCATCTGTTAGACTCTTGGTAGATGTAGGCCAAGATGTGCAGATGTACAGAGAGGCCCACACATCTCACTGGGTTATATATACTCTGAGCTGTGCTTCCCCAATTTTGTTCTGTATTAACATGTTACGAGAGAAAGGAAGGAAGGGAAAAGAAGAAAAAAAGATACCTTGGTCAAAAACAAGGTAAACAAAATCAAACATTTTTACCTTCTGTAGAACATCTCAGAGTCTATGATGAGTTCACATGCGTTATAAAGTCCCAAAAGGAGGGCAGGCTATTCGGTGTTTCCCAAGCTCACTGGGTACAGAGCTGTCCTTCAGGGTCTGTAGACCCTCTCCTCTGGGCGCAGGCTTTGGGAAGCGCTGGCTTAAACAAATGACCGGAAGCACCCCTTCTGTGTGTCTTTTGCCAGCAGGACGGTTTGGAACCCTCAGGCACAAGTCCTCCTCATGTGTCCGTTTCTGTGTCTGTCCCTGTCAGTCACAGGCCTGAGCTCATGGGGAGCTGATAGCGGGAGTAGATTCCAGAAATACGCCCGCTTCCTGGGGTCCCCGGGGTCCAAGAGGTGACTCCATTTTCAACCACAGCCAGGGACTGTGTGGGAATGAAAAGATAAAGGAACTTTATGCTCGAGGAAAGCAAGGAGCAACTGGGCCACCAGGAAGGAAATACAGAAAATAAAAATGGGGTGATGTTACCGAAGGCACAGAATTCTGGAGCTTCCAGCATGTATTTACTCAACAAAAGCTCACTGGGTGCCAGCTGCCAGGCAGTGCTCTCAGCTCCCCAGGGATTCTGTGGGGCACAGGATACCAGCTGACCCTCTAGGAGCCAACTGTTGGCTCATCCAGATGAAAATGTTTTTATTCTCTGCCCCAGTTTCTTCATCTGGCAAACAGCAAACAGAAAATGATGCCTTAAAAGGATGCAATCAAAAACACAATGTTGGGACTTCCCTGGTGGTGCCGTGGTTAAGAATCCTCCTGCCAATGCAGGGGACACGGGTTCGAGCACTGGTCTGGAAAGATCCCACATACTGTGGAGCAACTAAGCCTGTGTGCCACAATTACTGAGCCTGCTCTCTAGAGCCCACAAGCCACAACTACTGAGCCCATGCGCTGCAACTACTGAAGCCCACGCACCTAGAGCCTGTGCTCTGCAACAACAGAAGCCACCGCAATGAGAAGCCCGCTCACCACAACTAGAGAAAGCCTGCGCGCAGCAACGAACACTCAAAGCAGCCAAAAATAAAAAATAAATTTATTTAAGAAAAAAACCAAAACACACAATGTTATTTCAAATGTATAAAGACAGAGAGATGCTACATAGAATCAAGGAGGTTGTTTTTCTTTAAGGAAAAAAGAACATAAATGAAACGGTAAAATTTTCAGAACCTAGAAAAATATTGTTTTAGGAAACAAAATTCAAAACTGAAAAACAGAAAGCAGCAAATCTAAGAAAATAAAGAGACAGTAAAAGGAACCAAAGTGAAAAGAACAGACGATTGGAAAGAGAAACTATTAAAAGATAGAGTGCAGCTACAGACTGCAAAAGTGTAGAATTCGATAAATTTAAAACAACCTACTGCAAAAGATAAATGAATCAGCAGTGGCCAAGAGGAGCAGGTAGTGGCTGTGGCTTATTTATTTTAATATCCCCCCTGGCTTGCAGAGATCAGACCTTCAGAAGATACTGGTGAGGATGAAGGGAAATGACAGCCATGTGGCCCGAGGGGGTAGCCGCCCCTCTGCCAAGGCCCGCTTATCAAAGGCTAAACTCCTCCCTTTCTTCAGTGATGCTAATATTTCAGCTTTCTATGCCTGCTCCTCCCTACTTTAATTTGGAAAACATTGAAAGCCCTGATACTACGGCAGTGGGACGTGACAGCATACTATTGCTGCTGATAAACAACTGAAATTACTACTAACGAAGCACTTAATTATTTCTAATGTCAGCTGGAAATTGTCCAAGTGAGGATTTCTAGAAACTCCTAGAGAATATTATTATATTTAAATTACCTCTTTACTTAAACTGTTGCCCATGCTGGTATTTTAAAAATTGAAAAAACACAGAAGAGTAAATAAATAAAAAGTGAAAAAATCCCTTTCTCCCTAAACTGCTCCCTATACATAGCCCCTATTAATTAATTAAATTATTAATAGAAATTAATAATTTCTATTCCTTCTAGATATTGTCTGTGCCTAAACATATGTATAAATGTGCATAACTTTATACAAATTACATCATTCTAAACATACCACCTTGTAATTTGATTTATTAAGTATATCTTAGATGCCATCCCATGTCAATACATTTAGAAATTTTTTGCATTGATATACAGTGATGCATTTCATGTTATATTTAATCACTCCCCTGTTGAGCATTTAGATTATCCTTTATACTTTTTCAAAAAAATAATAAATTATTTGAGTGGAAAAATTCCTTTAGTGGAATATTAAATTAGACTATGTTTCCTTTAGTTTATTCAGTGAAATAGACAACTAGGGTTCAAAGCTGAGGGCAAAATGGTGCAAAGCACTCTTATCTCCCGAAGAGACAAATGGCAACAAGCGCTCAAAGATTGGGTTAGATACTTCCCCCAAGGTCTTTTTTTTTTTTTTTTTGTGGTACGTGGGCCTCACTGTTGTGGCCTCTCCCGTTGCAGAGCACAGGCTCCGGACGCGCAGGCTCAGTGGCCATGGCTCACGGGCCAGCCGCTCCGCGGCATGTGGGATCTTCCCGGACCGGGACACGAACCTGTGTCCCCTGCATCGGCAGGTGGACTCTCAACCACTGCGCCACCAGGGAAGCCCTTTTTTTTTTAAATTGAAGTATAGTCGATTTACAATGTTGTGTTAGTTTCAGGTGTATAGCAAAGTGACTCAGATATATACACACACACACACACAGACATATACATATATATATATGTAGACATATATACATATCTGAATATATATATGTATTCCTTTTCAGATTCTTTTCCATTATAGGTTATTACAAGGTATTGACTATAGCTCCCTGAGCTATACAGTAGGTCCTTGTTGTTTATCTATTTTACACATAGTAGTGTGTATCTGTTACTCCCTGATTCCTAATTTATCCCTCCCCCACTTCCCCTTTTGTAACCATAAGTTTGTTTTCTATGTCTGTGAGTCTATTTCTGTTTTGAAAATAAGTTCATTTGTATTATTTTTTTAGGTTCCACTTATATGGGATTCGTTTTTCTCTGTGTGCTAATCTCTAGGTCCATCCATGTTGCTGCAAATGGCATTATTTCATTCTTTTTTATGGCTATGATTCCATTGTGTGTGTATATATATATATACCACATCTTCTTTATCCATTCATCTGTCATTGGATATTTATGTTGTTTCCTTGTCTTGGCTGTTGTAAATAGTGCTGCTGTGAACATTGGGGTGCATGTATCTTTTCAAATTAGAGTTTTTGTCTCTTCTGGATATATGCACAGGAGTGGTAACTATTTTTAGTTGTTTTTTTTAAAATGAAGTATAGTTGATTTACAATGTTGTGTTAATTACTACTGTACAGCAAAGTGATTCAGTTATACATACATACATATATATATATATACACACACACACATATACACATCTTTTTTATATATTCTTTTCCATTATGGTTTATCACAAGATATTGAATATAGTTCTCTGTGCTATACAGTAGGTAGGTCCTTGTTATATATCCATTCTATATATAAAAGCACTGCTAACCCCAACCTCCCACTCCATCCCTCCCCCAAACCCCTCCCCCTTGGCAACCACAAGTCTTTTCTCTATAACTGTGACTCTGCTTCTGTTTCATACATAGGTTCATTTGTGTCATATTTTGATTCCACATATTAAAAATATCACATGGTATTTGTCTCTCTTTCTTAGTATGATAATCTCTAGTTGTATCTATGTTGCTGCAAATGGCAATATATCGTTCTTTTTTATGGCTGAGTAGTATTCCATTGTATATATGTACCACATCTTCTTTATCCATTCCTCTGTTGATGGACATTTAGGTTATTTTCGTGTCTTGGCTATTGTGAATAGTGCTGCTATGAACTATAGGGGTGCATGTATCATTTTGAATTATAGTTTTGTCCAGATACATGCCCAGGAGTGGGATTGCTGGATCATATGGTAATCCTATTTTTAGTTTTCTGAGGAACCTCCATACCATTTTCCACAGTGGCTGCACCAACTTACATTCCCACCAACAGTGTAGGACAGTGCCCTTTTCTCCACACCCTCTCCAGCATTTGGTATTTGTAGACTTTTTAATGATGGCCGTTCTGACTGATGTGGGGTGATACCTCACTGTAGGTTTGATGTGCATTTCTCTAATAATTAGCGATGATGAGCATCTTTTCATGTGCCTGTTGGCCATCTGTATTTCTTTTTTGGAGAAATGTTATTTTTAGTATTTTAAGGAACTTCCATACTGTTCTCCCTAGTGGCTGCATCAATTTACATTCCCACCAACAGTCTAAGAGCGTTCCCTTTTGAGAAATGAAATTGTATTCAAGTTGTTTTCATCTAGAACAGGGGTCAGCAAACTATGGCCTCCAGGTCAAATCTAGTTAGTTGGCCACCTATTTTTCTACCCAGTTTTATTGGAACATAGCCACGCCCATTCATTTACATATCTTACGGCTATTTTTGTGCTACAGCAAAGTTGAGTAGTTTTGATAGAGACTGTGTGGCCTGCAAAACATAACAAATTTGGTATCTGTCCCTTTACAGAAAAACTTTGCCGACCCCAGCTCTAGAGAAGTCAAAGACTTAACTCCCCTGCCATGCCCTAGGGATCAACAAATATAACTGCTTGAGCAGCAGTTGGAAGAGTGGCTCTGTACGGCCCTGCTGTTTGTATTTCTGGTGCCAGACTGTCCACACTCCCGGGCGACTGAGGGGAAGTAAAACCAAGGCAGTGCAGCCATTGCATTGCACTGCTGGGGAGAGGAATCCTTGTGAGCATATCCCCTCGGGCGGGATGGGAGGGCAGGGAGGTATCTACAGACTCGTCAGCACAAAAGAGAAATTCCAGGAGGTGCTGAGCTGCTGAAGTGGAGGGTGGGCAGGGCTGCAGGAGTCTGTGCTGAGACTCTGGTCACTTGGTCATCCTACAGGAGCTGCTGACTCTCGCCCTAAAGACTCTTCATTTCTGAAGACAAACGGTTGTCCACTCCTCCTCCGCCTCATTTCGCAAGAACCTCATCCTTACTTAACATGCCCATCCTCCCCGCCCCCGCCCTGCACCGGGTCATTCCTAATAGCATCTGAGAGGTGCTTTTGTCATTGTGGAAGAGGGCACTGTAAACTCTACACTGGGTGAACTTCACCTTATTATGTTTAGAGCAATTACTCCTTTGTGATATGACTTCTGTAAGAGTCACCTCGCATTTCTAAATTATGTTTTGAAGAAAGCTTAACTTGTTATCAAACGTAATTTGTTGGTAGACAATTTGAGTGGTCAAGTTCCAATATGTGGTGAGACCCTATGAGGAACACTCTGCTAGAAAAGTAGGGCATCCTCCCGTCTCTAAATAAGGGTGTTTATTCAATAGTTAGTTATTCCCCTCCACCACATGCTAGGCCCTCTGCTAAGCACTGGGAGTGCCTGCCTTCAAGGACCTCTGTGTGCATGTGTGGAGGGGGGATGAGAGTGGGGAGGAATGGGGAGGGTGGGGCCAGAGAAGTTAGGAATAGATGGTTGTAAATCATGAAAAATACCCATTTAATGTGAGCTCAGGGTACTGTTGGACTTGACCCAGCTGTGTGGGGTGGGGCTGAGATGTCTAAGCTGAGTTCTAGAAGACAAGCAAGAACCAACTGGGGAGTGAGCGATGGGAGAGGAGGCTCGAGTTCGGCCTGGAAGGCCAGACCGTGAAGCCTGGTGAGCCATTCTCTGGAGCCAGGACCCTTCCCTTGAGACAGTGGGGACATGAAAGGACTGAAACAAGAAGGTTAGATTGAGATCGTTAGATACTGAGTGAGCAATTTGAAGGGGGTGGGGAGTAAAATCAGAAACAGGTTTCTGCAAGGAAAAAATGAACTTGAACTAAGGTCTTAGCAGTGAAAATAAAGAGGAGAGGAGGTTGCAAATGTATAAGACTGGATGGTCAGGATGGTCAACTGGATTGGGAAGGAATGTTAGAAAAAGAAGGAAATTAAGAATGATTGCCAGTTAGGGGTTTGCGAGCTCACAGGTGATTGGTAGGGACATTCACCGGGATGGGGAAGGTATTAGCTGACCATTGCTGTGTAATAAATTATCTCGAAATTTAGCAGCTTAAAACAACATTTTTTCTCTCACAGTTTCTGTGTCTGGAATTTAAGAGCAGATTAGTTAGGTGATTCTGACTCAGGGTCTCTTATGAAGTTGCTGTCGAGACATCAGTCATCTGAAGGCTCCATGGGGGCTGGAGGATCTGCTTCCAAGGTGACCCACCCGCATGGCTATTGGCAGGAGGCCTCAGTTCCTTCCTGGATTTTTACAGGAAGCCCTGGTTCCTCACCACCTGGATCTCTCCATAGGGCTTCCTGAACATCCTTAGGACATGGCAGCAGCAGGCTTCTCCCACAGTGGGTGATCCAAGAGAGAGCAAAGAGGAAGCCACGTGCTTTTTAGGACCTAGTCTGACAAGTCACACACTGTCACGTCTACCT